ACATCATATTGATTGTACTTCTGTTAAATCAACTGGATATAAAACGGTGGGAGATTTTGTAAACATTTCCTGAATGGCGAGTTGTTGAGATCGACGGAGATCTGTTTAGGAATGTGGACTGATAGGTGAATGTTTAGCAACCAGACATTATCAAAATATTATTTAAAATATTTACTAGAGGCGATATTAGGCCTAAATTGACCAATGAGCTTAACTAGGATACTGCAGTATTCCGTTTTGTCCATGGATTTCATCAAGGTTATTTTGTGAAATTAATATCTGATATTCTTATTCAATAAAACATCCTACTTTAAAAGACACAGGCAAACAATTCAGTAGAGAGAGGAATGAGAAATGAGGTTTAACGTCCACTCGATACATACATGCTAAAGACACCTATATGCAAACGAATTAATGAAATAAAATTAAACTATATTATGATAGTCCGTCGCCCCACGCCCCCCGCACTAGCGTTACTATTAAATGGCTGCTTCACTATAACCGCGAATATGATAGTGCTGAGAGTATAAGAACACAGAGGAGTAGAAGAATGATGTCATAATGGTATCGAAGGCCGCAACGTGTAATATGTAACTGAGTTTTTAATTTTTTGGGATTTGGCCTGAAGATTTTAGCCAGTGTCATGGCAAATGGGAGTAAAATCTCGTAAACGAGAGAAAAAGAAATTGGACAGAATCTCGAGGCTTGTAATACGTACGGACTGCTACGGGCCTATCGTGTTTTTTTTTATTAAAATCTCAAATATTATACTAATTATTCATTCGTATCGTTTTTGGAACATGCAATCGACGACAGTTTCGAACAGAATTTTTTCAATCTTCTGTGTAACATTGTTGTCACGAGAGGGCGAATCTTATATCGATTTTCAGTATTTATTTTATGGATTTTTCTGAATTTTTTTTTAATACATGTAGTCAGTACCAAAACAAAAGAGGATACCCATCGAAGTCAGATAATTTTCCTTCGAGTGATAGTTGCTGTGTGGTCGTATTTTTACACGTATTTGCGTGGCTATCTTTTTACTATGTATATATGTAATACTTTGAATTTCAGACATTTATGTCAGAAAAGCAGAAGAAATGCAACTTGAAGTAAGGAATTTCATAGAATTTCCAAACCATTGCCAAGGGGAATAATGTTGCTAAACTGGTCGGCGGACGAAACATACAACATATCTGAAGAACAAGAAGACAGTTTGATGCATTATCTTTTACAAACATTCCCTAATCTAAAGGATTTAACAAAAGATGTTGCGTCAATGATGCATGATACAATAGCTTTCTTCGTCAATTACAAAACAGGTGTTTAAGTTATAAACGTTGTAATAAAATTGTAATAAAAACATAAACCAAACGCAAATTAAACAAACATTAAATTCCAAGAGGTTTTTGAAGGGCCTCGATTTCTCGAGGCGAGAACCCGAGATTAGCGAAAGAGTAGAGAGAGAAATGGGGTTTAACGTCCACTCGACACAAACTAGGTCATTTCGGGATCAACATATGGTTTTAATTTTATTTCAATAATTCGCTTGCGCGTAGGGGTATTTAGCAGTGGGAGGAAACCGGAGGACCCGGAGTAAACCCACTTACAACCGGGGATTCGAAACCACGCCAGTTGACTCAATGATAGGCTTTATGATACAGCGCGCACGTGCTAACCATTCGGCCATCTCCCCCCCCCTCCTGAGATTAGCAAGAAGTCTAGATTACAACTTGGCCGCAACCGGCCACCTTAATATCATGTCTATTCTATACCATATATCTGCCTAATATGGACATAAAAGGGGGGGGGGAGCAACTTTCCTGACTGAATCGAGGGCTTTAAGAAATTATCTATGGTGCCACATGAAAGAGGGCTAAACACTTTCTAATTCCATGCCATGTATTTAGTGGCTCAAGAAAATAAAATAGCAGCGGTCGTTTGGTAAAACTGAATTGACAAAAAAGACGGGGGGGGGGGGGGGTACTGCTTTCCTAGGAAGGATTTCAGATTATGCTGAGGACTTTCAAGAATAATCTATGGTGCCACATGATAGAGGGATAACCACTCTTTCATTCTATACCAAGTACTGCGTGGCTCAAGAAAATGAAATAGTAGCGGTAGTTTGGTAAAGCACAGTTCACAAAGAAAGAGTGGGGGGGGGGCTTTGGGGACGTCTTTCAGACTATGACGAGGATTTTAAAGAATAAGCTATGTTGCAACATGAAAGAGGGATAAGCACTCTTTTATTCCATGCCATGTTATGAGTGGCTCAAGAAAATAAAATAGCAGCGGCCGTTTGGTAAAACAGAATTGACAAACAAGACGGAGGGGGGGGGGGAGGGTATTACTTTACTAGGAAGGATTTCAGATTATGCTGAGGACTTTCAAGAATAATCTATGGTGCCACATGATAGAGGGATAACCACTCTTTCATTCTATACCAAGCATCGAGTGGCTCAAGAAAATGAAACAGCAGCGGACGTTTGGTAAACGGCTGGGGCTATTTGCCACATGTGGTAAGACAATCCGGAGACTATTTGCTACATGTGGCAAGTCTCCGAACCGCAATTATCAACCGATTTCAATGACACTTACAGATAACGATAACATTAATAATATCTCAGAGTCGGTAAAATTTCTACCACTTCCGGTTAGCGGTTTCGGAGATATCAGGTTACCACACATTTCATGTGGCACGGCTACAGACCACAATTATCAATCGATATCCATGAACTCACAGAATATGATAACATTAATAATATCTCAAAGTAGCCAAAATTTCGACCACTTCTGGTTAGCGGTTTCGGAGATATCAGGTTACCACACATTTCATGTGGCACGGCTACAGACCACAATTATCAACCGATATCCATGAAACGTACAGAATATGATAACATTAATAATATCTCAGAGTAGCCAAAATTTCGACTACTTCCGGTTAGCGGTTTCCGAGATATCAGGTTACCACATATGTCATGTGGCACGGCTACAGACTGCAAATACCAACCGATTTCAATGAAACGTGCAGATTATAATGACAATAATAATATCTCAGAGTAGGCAAAATTTCGACCACCTCCGGTTAGCGGTTTCGGGGATATCAGGTTACCACACATTTCATGTGGCACGGCTACAGACTGCAAATACCAACCGATTTCAATGAAACTCTCAGATTATAATTACATTAATAATATCTCAGAGTAGGCAAATTTCGACCACTTCCGGCTAGCGGTTTCGGAGATATCAGGTTATCACACATTTCATGTGGCACGGCTACAGACCGCAATTATAAACCGATTTCTAAGAGATATTATTAATGTCATTATAATCTGCAAGTTTCATGGAAATCGGTTGGTAATTGCATTTCTATTGCAGCAACTGCCCGCACTTATGCCGATTACCTGCAATTTTCGAACAAAATCTAGTTTTTCACGGCTTAATCCCTATAATATAATCATTTAGTCATTTAATCTTTAATCATTTAGTTAAAGGAACAAAACCAAAAGATCACTCGAGATATTGATAATTCCCCGACTTGAATTCAATCGGGTACTTTATATTCTGGAAACATTGTCACTTATCCAAATATATCGAATCGTCATTAGTTTCAAAAGAACTCAATTTTCCCTTGAAAAATGGTAGCTAACATTGCTTAAAATTTACGAAAAACATTAGCAAAATGCCCCCCGCCCCCTCCGAGAGAGAGAGAGAGAGAGAGAGAGATAGAGAGAGAGAGAGGGGTTTAACGTCCACTCGACACCCCGTAGTTCATTTCGGGACTAAATATCGTTCAAGTTCATTTCAATAATTCGCTTGCGCGTAGGGGTCTTTAGCAATGGGAGGAAACCGGAGGAGCCGGAGAAAAACCCACGAGGTTGGACAGGCCACCCTACTCCTTGGTACGTACAACCGGGGAATCGAAACCACGCCAGTTGACTCAATGACAGACCTTATGATACAATGTGCATGCGCTAACCATTCGGCCACCCAATCCCCAGAGAGACAGAGAGAGAGAGAGAGAGACAGACAGCTTAACTTCCACTCCACACGAAAGTGGACGTTTCGGAACTAAAATGCGCGTAGGGGTCATTAACAGCGGGGGGAAACTGGAGAAAAACCCAAGAGGTTGGACAGGCTACCCTACTTCACGTACAAAGTGGGAATTGAAACCACGCCACTTGCACCAATGACAGGCCTTAGGATCTAATGCGCGCGTATTAGACATTTCGCCCCCACCCGATATTTGTTACATAACCAACCAAATGAAATGACCAGAGAATAACGCCCCATTTTCATATCAACCGGGCCAATAAAGACGGGCATACGTCATACAGTGACAGCATCGTTTGTGTTTAACTCTTCATGCAATTCCAAATGCCCAGTTTTCTTTATCTCCCTTTTTCTGTTCAACCCAAACGACTAGACGTTGTTCCCTGCCAGGCCTGCGCCACTGGAAACTTCCATGCTTTTATTAACACACATCACCTGAATTATAACAAGGGGAACCCACGTCCGTTATCCCGATCAATTTTCTCGGCCAAAAGGATGTGTGCGGTAAGTGCTAAGTGATAAGACCGCTCAATTTTTAGTCACAAGTCACGAGATGTAAACAGGGTTAGCGCTAATCCCAACCCTAAACCTAACCCTGGACCTAGCCCCAATGCTTACCCTAACCAACAATCACGTGACCTAATCTTATTTACATCTCAGCGACCTTGACAAAAATTGAGCTGGCCTTAACTTTTAGATTTAGCCGCGTAGTCTGTTAACAGCTTGAAGCTTCGCCTTTATCGTGCACTCGCATAAAAAAAACCCACGCATCTCACTCCACCACCCTTCTCCCCAGTTGTTTAAAGCAAACTCACCTCAACTCTATTTTCATCGCCAACATTTGACAAGTCTGACTCGGAATTATAATGAAATACATTTATATTTTCTATCTGGATAACACTAGCAGATTTAACAACCCATTTTGTCTTGAATTAAATTTAACACTGTTTATAATTTGCGTATTATTTTATTAACGTATCATTCATTTTATACGTATGCTTATTTCTTGCCTAAACCACTAAGAAGTCCACCAGTTAGTCCACCTGTTAGTCCACCAGTTAGTCCACCTGTTAGTCCACCAGAGCCACCCAGCAAGCCACCTGAAATATATTAAATGTATATTATTATGTAAATAGTCAGATTGTTAAACTTGCTGGACAACGGACTTGATATCAATTAATTGTGACCTGTCTCCTTATTGATGTGACGTAATAAGGTAATTAAACTTGCTGGAATGATCTACTTATTATCATGAACAGAGAAGTTAGGGCCAATTATGCAAGTTCGGTAGAAAGGCTGAAGTCACCGGTTTGCCAATTTAGTTGAAATTAAAGTTATGGTCAATTGTGCAAGTTAAATAGAAAGGCCTCGCTAAAAAGAAAAGAATTTAAGTGAACATACGTCACCGTGTTTCAATTATGTAAAACTTGTACATTTCTAATAGGTAACATTTACTTAAATTGGATCAAAATTGATTCTTGGCATAGTTGATAATTGTTTAATACTCTTTATGATTTATTTACAGGTATCAATTTGATATTATTATTTGATATTTCCCTGATGGAAAGTACTTAATGGTTACTTTATATAATTTAAGAGGCAAATCAATTCAAAGGCTTTTAATTTTATGTGCAAAACATAGCCATTCTAGAACAGGGGAATACAAAAGTGGGTTTCGTACAAAAAAGGCTCAAAGTTAGGACCAATTGTGCAAGTTAAGTAGAAAGGCTTAAGTCCCTTGGTTACCATATAGTTGAGATTAAAGCTGATAGACATTCTAAATTTACTTCTATTCTTCTATTCAACGAGAAAACTAAAACTATGGGGGAATGTCTCTACCGGTATTTATTAAAGACCCTTAAGCTGAACATAAAATTGCTTTCTTTCTATAAACAACTGCTTTTTCGCAATATAACTAAATTCTCCTGTAATCTTTAACCAAATTATCGTTCGAAATGATATAGAAACTGTTGAGCACAGAGCGAGTCATTTTAGATGTCTTATTTTATGTTTGGCCAATATCAAAGAGTTGTAGTTATTTTACGTTGTACTTACCCAGATTAAGACTACCAGATCCACCAAGATTTAGAGCTCCATTAAGGTTTAGGTTCAGGAGTTCTTCAAGATTAATCATTGCTTCTATTCCCAAAATATCAAGTGATATGCCTGCGCCCTCACCCTGTAGTATAGTCTGAACCATTGCCACAAAATTAACATTTCGTTCATCAACAGACAACATACCGTCACCTGTAAGATTTATGTACATAAATCATATTATCTCGAGAACATACTCCCTCTCTCTCTCTCTCTCTTCTCTCTCTCGCGGTGAAAATATCAAACATTAAACGTTAATGTAATTCAATTTGGTTAAAACTCTTACCGTCAGTATCAAATTGTGCTACAATCTGATTTGCAAGGTCTGTTTCTATGTCAAGCCCCACTGCCAATTGCGCAGCCGAAACCATATTCACCTGAGCTTCAGTATTTTGAGCCAGAACCATGGCCAGGGTTATTACCAATAAACAAAACATCCTGTAATAGAATATGTAAGCTACGTCAACTCCTCAAACGAGAACTGGTATCAGGTATAATGGACAGAATAGGAATACCTTGTATCGTGTACAAAACTCATCACTAATTGTAACTAAGTAGAGCGATAGTTTGAAGCTAGATTTACATAACATAAACAATTTTAAAATGTATTTAACGGTAATTTATTTATATAATATTCAATCTTACCTGTTGATTGTAGATCTGTATACAATAGGGATACTGTTCTATGTTATATTCTGTGCCCACTTTTATAGTAAATCAAGTGATAAACAATATAATTACCTATCTGTAGATTTCACATATCAAATCAGGAAACAACACCTATCACTAACGGTTACGTTGATTAACATAAGATATTAGATCATTCTATGTTATGAATTGTTGCAATTGAATAAGGAAGTCGAGGTGACAATAATAATAGATAACATTTAAGTTTTCACTTTCAAATAAAAGATTAAATCATTATCTTATGAATATCTCATGTTTTAATGGTTCTGTTGGATATCTGTATTATTATCAAATATATGACCAACACTATAATGAGGAAGTTTGATTATATTGTGTAAAATAAGATTCGTTATCTAGATCTTGTCAAGTACACCAAATTGATTTCCTTATTTGAAACATGTGTTACATTTAATGGAATGGAAATTATAGATACTCAATAAACAGAAAGGGAAGGGGTTTAAGGTATCTCTCGGAAATATGAGACTGACACATGGGTAATTTTTGTGGTCACGTGATCATTGTTAGGGATTTGAGAATATCTGTCATTTGGCTTTTCAGAGAGAGAAACTGGGATTAAAATCCACCAAACAGCTAACACCAAACAGATGCACACGCCAAACAAGTAACGCGCACTTGACACAAACTATGATATTTCGGGACTACAAATTCTTGGGTTTCAATTATGTGGAACATTTGGTAAAATTTCTAGTAATCTGGTGCTAGTGTAATATATAGTATAGTCTGAAATGATTAAAGTCCGTGTCACGTGATACAATAGTAGCGTAGTGGCTAGTGTAATATATAGTACAGTCTGAAATGATTAAAAGTCTGGTGGCTAGATAGTACAGTCTATAATGATTAAATCTGTTCCATGCGACACAATAGGAGTTTGGACAACCTGTGTGATTTGGCTTTTTATTACAACTGAAACCATTCAAATCGGGATCGTCCCGTTATTCCCCCTCCACTCCCGCTATTGTTCTCATGGTAGGAGTAGTCAAGCATGGAGATTATCAAATACTAAAGGGATTAAAACTACAGCCCGCTTCACAAAAATGTGGTTTACAACAAAAGTGAAACTCGACGATAAACCGAGGTCCCGTGTACACATTGGGTGCTCGTAAAAGATCCCTTGGCATTTGGAATTCGATATAAGAATAGGTTGTAGCACCGCCGTCCGGGTAAAATGGCCCTCATAACGCACTGTATGGCGTATGCCCGTCTCCATTATCCCAGTCGGAGCAGAACAATAGGACAATATACCCCATTTCATTTCATTTCTCTGGATTTTCCAGTCTGGTTTCCTAAGACGGAGGGCTTCGCAAGGAAAAGGCGTTCAGTCGTTCGGATGGGACGAAAACCCGCGGCTCACCCGTGTACATGTTTGGGTGCACGTTAAAGAAGCCTAGACAAGAAGACCGACTTAAATCATTTCAACAATCCACGATAAATAATAGTTAACACAGCAGAACAGAACAGATTTCGACCACTTCCGGTTGGCGGTTTCCGAGATATCAGGTTACCACATATGTCATGTGGCACGTCTACAGACTGCAAATACCAACCGATTTCAATGAAACGTGCAGATTATAATGACAATAATAATATCGCAGAGTAGGCAAAATGTCGACAACTTCCGGTTAGCGGTTTCGGAGATATCAGGTTACCACACATTTCATGTGGCACGGCTACAGACCGCAATTACCAACCGATTTCAATGACACTTACAGACAATGATAACATTAATAATATCTCACAGTAGCCCAAATTTCAACCACTTCCGGTGAGCGGTTTCCGAGATATCAGGTTACCACACATTTCATGTGGCACGACTACAGACCGCAATTACCAACCGATTTCAAGAAACTTGCAGATTATCATTATATTTATAATATCTCAGAGTAGGCAACGTTTCGGCCACTTCCGGTTAGCGGTTTCCGAGATATCAGGTTACCACACATTTCATGTGGCACGGCTACAGACCGCAATTACCAACCGGAAATGGTCGAAATTTTGCCTATCCTGAGATATTTTCCCTACTCTGTTAACCTGATATCTCGGAAACCACTTACCGGAAGTGGTCGAAACTTTACATACTCTGAGATATTAATAATGTTATCATATTCTGTACGTTTCATGGATATCGGTTGATAATTGTGGTCTGTATCCGTGCCACATGAAATGTGTGGTAACCTGATATCTCGGAAACCGCTAACCGGAAGTGCTCGAAATTCTGCCTTCTCTGAGATATTATTAATGTTATTATAATCGGCAAGTTTCATTGAAATCAGTTGATAATTGTGGTCTGTAGCCGTGCCACATGAAATGTGTGGTAAACTGATATCTCCGAAACCGCCAACCGGAAGTGGTCGAAATTTTGCCTACTCTGAGATATTATTAATGTTATTATAATCTGCAAGTTTTATTGAAATCGGTTGATAATTGTGGTCTGTAGCCGTGCCACATGAAATGTGTGGTTACCTGATATCTTGGAAACTGCTAACCAGAAGTGGTCGAAATTTCGCCTACTCTGAGATATTATTAATGTTATTATAATCTTCAAGTTTCACTGAAATCGGTTTATAATTGCGGTCTATAGCCGTGCCACATGAAATGTGTGGTAACCTGATATCTCCGAAACCGCTAACCCAAATTGGTCTTAATTTTGCATACTCTGAGATGTTATTAATGTCATTATAATCTGCAAGTGTCATGGAAATCGGTTGGTAATTGCAGTCTGTAGCCGTGCCACATGAAATGTCTGGTAACCTGATATCTCGGAAACCGCTAACCGGAAGTTGTCGACATTTTGCCTTCTTTGAGATATTATTAATGTCATTATAATCTGCAAGTTTCGTTGAAATCGGTGGGTAATTGCAGTCTGTAGCCGTGCTACATGAAATGTGTGGTAACTGGATATCTCGGAAACCGCTAACCGGAAGTGGCTGAAATTTTGGCTACTCTGAGATCGTTTTAAAGTAAATATAATCTGCAAGTTTCATTGAAATCGGTTGATAATTGTGTTCTGTGGCCGTGCCACATAAAATGTATGGTAACCTGATATCTCGGAAACTGCCAACCGGAAGTGGTCGAAATTTTGGCTACTCTGAGATATAATTAAAGTAATTATAATCTGCAAGTTTCATTGAAATCGGTCGATAATTGTGGTCTGTAGCCGTGCCATATGAAATGTGTGGTAACCTGATATCTTGGAAACCGCTAACCGGAAGTGGTCGAAATTTTGCTTACTCTGAGATATTATTCATGTTATCAAATTCTATAAGTTTCATGGATATCGGTTGATAATTGTGGTCTGTAGCCGAGCCACATGAAATGTGTGGTAACCTGATATCTCGGAAACCGCTAACCGGAAGTGGCCGAAACGTTGCCTACTCTGAGATATTATAAATGTAATGATAATCTGCAAGTTTCTTGAAATCGGTTGGTAATTGCGGTCTGTAGTCGTGTCACATGAAATGTGTGGTAACCTGATATCTCGGAAACCGCTCACCGGAAGTGGTTGAAATTTGGGCTACTGTGAGATATTATTAATGTTATCATTGTCTGTAAGTTATGGTGACTGATTGGTATCATGTCGTAATGTCGTGATTTCGCCTTTTATAACGCGACAACCCGACAACCCGACATCACGACATTTCTACCCGACATTACGACAACCCGACAACCCGACACCACGACATTTTTACCCGACATCACGACATTTTTACCCGACATCACGACATTTTTACCCGACATTACGACACTAAAAATGGTAAAAGTCATCTTTAAAATACAAGCTCTATTACTACGAAAACAAAGAACAAGTCGAACGATTTACTTTTGCCACATTTTTCATTTTATGAGACTTCACATTTTTTTATCAGGGAAGGCATAAACAGAGAGTTTATACTGCTTTTCAGATCACTTCTATCACTGGGCTCGTCCGGTGCATGGAGTTGGATGCCAGGCATAAACAGAGAGTTTATACTGCTTTTCAGATCACGTCTATCACTGAGCTCTTTTCAGATTTCTATTTTTTTTCATGAAAATATTTGGGGGGGGGGGGCGGTGCCAGCCCAAGCTTGTACATGACAAAGAGTAGGGTCGTCTGTCTAACCTCGTGGGTTTTCCCCGGTTCCCCCGGTTTCCTCCGACTGCTGAAGACCCCTACGCGCGAGCGAATTATTGAAATAAAATTGAACCATATGTTAGTCCCGAAATGACCTAGTTTGTGTCGAGTGGTCATTAAACCTCTCTCCCTCTCTCTCTCTCATGATCAAACTCAGAATTAGCTAGAATCAAGGTTATTGTGTCCCAAAACATCGACCAATCAAATTGCTTATCTCTGCTTAGCCTTAGGAAAATCATAAATAAACAACAAGATTATGAACATGTTAACGATTGTATACAGAGTCAGTTAAAAGCCTGATTAAATAAATGTGTTTTAAGTTGTTTTTTAAACGAATATAGAGATGTACAACATGGTCAAGATATAACGCGACAACCCGACATCACGACAACCCGACAACCCGACATCACGACAACCCGACAACCCGACATCACGACAACCCGACAACCCGACACCACGACATTTTTACCCGACATCACGACATTTTTACCCGACATTACGACACTAGTGTCGTAATGTCGGGTAAAAATGTCGTAAATGTCGTGATGTCGGGTAAAAATGTCGTGGTGTCGGGTTGTCGGGTTGTCGTAATGTCGGGTAGAAATGTCGTGATGTCGGGTTGTCGCGTTATGAAAGGCGACATCACGACATTACGACATGATACCAATCAGCCACCATAACTTACAGACAATGATAACATTAATAATATCTCACAGTAGCCCAAATTTCAACCACTTCCGGTGAGCGGTTTCCGAGATATCAGGTTACCACACATTTCATGTGACACGACTACAGAAGGCAATTACCAACCAATTTCAAGAAACTTGCAGATAATCATTACATTTATAATATCTCAGAGTAGGCAACGTTTCGGCCACGTCCGGTTAGCGGTTGCCGAGATATCAGGTTACCACACATTTTATGTGGCACGGCTACAGACCACAATTATCAACCGTTATCCATGAAACT